TTTATTCAAGACAATGTAAATGACTTTTTAAATTAAAAAAGCTCTGAAATTATGACCAGTGCCAGAGAAGAATCTGACCCCAAATGGATTGCCTGAAATGGAACATGCGGTCGCACTGGTGGGGATCACAGGCACTGCTGCTCCAGAGCTGACCTCTTTGTTTTCCTATTAGGAAGAAATATGCGTATGTATTTCCTAGATGAATCTTAAAATCAAATTTACTTCTAAGGGATGGAAGGAAAGAGAAAAATAAGTGCACCTTGGAGCCCATGTAAATGTATTTTCCGTAAGTAAAAAAGAAATTTCATCAATACAGTTCCATAGGTAACTGTTGAAATTGTCTTTTGTCTAGGAGGGACTTCATAATTTATGATTATTCAGGAGCAGGGCTGGTATTTTATTGTATTTTAAAATATCAACCATACAGATTGTAGGGTCACAGAAGTAAGACAGACTAAGTCTTCCAGAGCATGTTTTACTTTTATTATTATTCTAATAATTGTAATTACAACTTGTATTGCAGTAAGAACATGGAAATGATGGCAGGAACACAGAATACTTTCTTCCCAGATTAAATTAAAGAAAGTGTACTTTCTAAGTAGTGTATCTCTGCAACACACATAGAAAACATTAAAAAAAGTTATCCAAGGCTCAGCCTGGTCTGAGCCATCCCCATTTCCTTTCCTTGAGCACATCTGTCTCCAGTGTCAGGTTACTAGTGAACATTCCTTCTGCTTGCTGGCTACCATCTTCTTCTGGAGCACTGTCTCCCCCCAGGCAGGAAAGGCAGTGAGCACTAATAGGCAAGGCAGGGAAGTGGATTTTTTTTCCTCCAGAAAAAACAAAATGGCAAGCAGGAGGAATAGAGTTTTGTTTCTGGGTAGGTTTTCATTTTCAAGCACAGATAAAAATCAGGACAGAGTGCATAATTTTCTCCTGAAATCATAATTTTTGAGCTAATGAGTTTTGCCTAGAAAAAGTGGTCTTCATGATTACAGTCAATGAAGAAGGCAAACATTGTATTTGGCATCTGGTGCTGTACCCTGGTCTGAAGAGAAAACATCCTTTATATTCATGGTAGGCACATAGACCCTATAAAACCATGAGATAATAATCCCAGTGAAATCTGTGGTAAAAAAAAAAAAAAATCACAGACACCTAAACAACATTTCAAAATTTATCCCTGTGAGCATTTCTTGGCCAGCTTCTTCCTTTCAAGCAGTTGCTCACATGATCTTTTTGCATTTTTAAAATTTTGTTTGTTGCACAGCCCACTAACCATTTTGCAAGGTAATAGAAAGGAACAAGGAAAAGCTGAGAACTTTCCCTAGTGACACTTGCAATTTGACTCGAAGATATGCTTCACAAAATTCTTTTGACTCATAAACATGTTTATCCCAGATCTTGTCTGGTTAGTGAAACAATTCCTCTGGATCAGCAGGATAGATGAATAATTTTGGGAAAACCAAGTTAGAAAACCTGACTAGAAGCTCTGGTACTATATGTTATCTGACAGCTCCAAGTCAAAATAAACAAGAATTTTTGCTTATTATCAGTTACTATCACTGCTGAGCATTCAGCATGGTTTCTTATGAAACAGGGGAGATCCACAGTGATCCATGTATTTTTACAGGCTTCTAAGAGGGGAAGAGTTAATATCCAAGGGGTATCTGAGATTCTAGGACTGAAACTAGTATTGCCATATATAGCAATTAATTCCTGTACTTTAGAAGCATCATTTAATATTTTATACTGATAGCATTTCAAAGCTGTTTTTAAATATTAACAATAAACACTAGAGTTTATGTACTGGCCTTCAAACCAAAAGTAGTATTCAATTTCTGACTAGCAGAGCAATAGGGAATGCTAATTAATCTCTTACTCCATCCTAGGAGGTGCCAAATTATCTTTATCACATGTTGTAATCATCCAAGTTTATTCTATTTCTTAATACTGTGCATTTTACTGATTCCTCCCATTATTTCATCTTTTGTTCTTCCAGGGACTCGCTTTTGCATTCATGAGATAATTTTTATTCTTCTATATGTGACAAAATGATTTGAAATTCTCTCATCCACCTTTCCCTTATTTCTTCCAATTTTATTATTAGAGATGCCATCACATTTTCAAAAATTTTTCCCCAAGATTGTAGAAGCCACTCTACTGAAAGTGTCACCTAGAACAATTAATAACCAGTGAAGTGATATAGTACTTACTGAAATGTGTTAAGCAAAAGATAATGTTGTGTGTTCCAGTTAATGTTTGATATTCAGGAAAGGCAGCTCCTATTCAACACTTTCAAAATTGTTTCTGCAATATGCTAACTATTTTTTTTCAGTTTCTGGATGTAAACAGATAATCTGACTATTTAATCCTATCAAGGAGGAAATAAGGAAGAGAATGTCTGTTGGAGATGTAGCAATTATATAGGTAATAAATGCTGAAATCATCATTCCTTTATTATGTTCCTTCCAGATTATAAGAGAAGGAAGGCTTTTGATTCAAACAACCGATTCTTCTAGCTCATAACATTGTTTCTATAGACTTCCAGCTTTCCTACACACTTTACATTCCCTCTCCTCCTAAGCCAGCCCAAAACCCACCAGAAAACACTATGAAAAAGGCAGAACTATTACATCACTACATTCTACGAAGTTGTTATTTGCCTAATTTCAAGTAGCACTCTGCCACATGAAAGTAAGTACCTGAAGGAAACTACTTGCAAAAGAACTACAAACTAGAGTGGGGCTGTATTACATTTTAAATTTTTTTTTTTCTTCGGGAAGCATAGAATTATTACTGTATTTTACACAGAAATGATAATAACTCTGTCATGCTCATGCTATAGTGACTTGGATTTGATTAGCCAAGTAAATATTTGTAAACTTTGGCACAGAGTTAACAGTGGACTTAACAGATTATAATATACAAAACTGGAAAAAAAAAAAAAAAACAATAAATATTGGACTTAATTATTGCATTTTACTCAAGACCCCTAAATTTAACTCCTGGTCACCTCAGAACCAGACCGTCTGTAAACTTCACCACATTCAGGTGCAGAAGAAGCCTCGATAGCCCGAGGGACCTCCAATAGTCTATGCATTCTTTCTGCCTGTTAGCTTTCTGCAGAGTCCCTATCACTTTGAAGTCTATACTACTTTCCACTTTAAGGTTATGAGCCTGAACCTCACCTGCTGAATGAAAGTGATGGTCATTTGCAGGGCTGTATGAATGAGGTGGTCAGTGTGTGCTCATTCGTGGTGAGCAAGAGAACACATCCCTAAACCTGTCCTAGTGGGGACAGAATGACATTTAGGATGTTGAGGATGTAACCCTGGCTCTGTTACAAACTCATTGAATGATCTGGGCACAGCACTCCTCTCCTACTCCACCACATTTGTACTTGAATTTATAACCCCCTTAAGATAATTCTGTCACTGCCACCACAGGACCCTGATTTCAGCTGAGCTAGTAGCAATATTATTAAAAAAAAAGTTCACTATAATGTCCAGAAATCACAAAGAAAAAACTTAATGACGACCAAGCTGTAAAGAAGAACACTGGGATGTGTCTCTTGATTATGACACACAAATCTGATCAACCAGCAGAGGATTTCCTTTGTTAATGTTTTGTCTCAGCAGTCTTGGTATCATTTCAAAGCATTTAGTAACTATTTTCTCCATGTATTCAAGCTGCAATTTGTCTTTTAATTGATATGTGCATACTCTACCTAGACAAATTAAGTAACCAAGTAATAATGTATAACTCTACGAGGAGGTACTAGTGCCCACTATTGAGTTAAATAGGTTTTTAAACAAAATGGGGAAGCCCACAATAAGGGAAAGCAATACAGGGGCAACTGAATTAAAACAAAGCAAAATAAAACAAAACAAACAAACAAACAAAAAAAACCCAAACTAAAAATAAAACAACTCCAAAGAACCCCCCTAACAAACCAACTACATATTTCACTCTTTTAGGAAATAGGCAAATAACAATTTTCTCCACTTTCAATAATAGTTACCAAGTAATAATAGTAGTGCTTAGCTTATATAGAAATGGACTCTTTCCTGCATGTTTTGGAACAGAAATTTTTCCCAGAAAGGAATAAATTTAAACTTTTTTTTCTTTTTCCCCAAATAACTAGGTGCTATTTCATCACAAGTAACCAGCAGGTTGGAGAAAACAAAAAGGACCAGTCGATTTTCAACTGATGCCAGTAATTCACTGGATTTCAAAGCCATCTGCTTTGTGCTGCTCCCAAATTCCACAGGTTTTGCCTTTTTTCTCTTTAGGTTTGAGTATCTGCACCAGTTGGTTTCAGTGGTTTGTTAAAGCGAGCTCTCATCATAATAAAGTGTAAATATAATGCAATGTACAGGTGGGCTATAAAAATGGATACCCCATCCAAAACTGCTGGCCTCAAACTGGCACTGCTGGAACAGATATATCTATTTTACCTTACACGGAAAAAAAAATACACCAAAAAATCCCAAAAAACTCCTTTAGAAATTAATTCCTGAATATTCTGATCCTTTAAAAATAGTTGACGATACAAAAGACACCCATTAGCCTTAAGTACTGCCAGTTTCACTTTGAATAGCCACAACTTCGCAGCTAGTTTAGAGAAGAGAGAAGGTATTCGAGCTGGGACAAGGGCCATGCTTGGGGGGGCTTCCCTGCCTCCGCTTTCGGGGAGGGGAACAAAGGTCGGGGGGGCATTTCCTGCCCCTGCCATTGGTGTCTGCATGTGGGACCAATATGGGCAATGCAAAGTTTAAACAGTTGCAAATGGGGGAGGGAACGTCGGGGCTTGTTTTACATATGTTTTTTTCCCGGCCGGGTTGAATTTAAAGTGGAGCGGCCGCATTGTTCGCGAGGCTCCTTGCCCCTACGCATTGACCGGAGCTGCTGTTTACACGGGCTTTTCATTCCTGCGCTGTTTGCTTATGGAAAATAAGGGGGAGTGACAGAAGAAGAGAAAGGGAGAAGGGAGGAGAGGGAGGCCCGGAGCGCAGCGCAGCAGCCTCGGCCCGGCGGATCCCTGCATCCCTGCCCCGGCGGAGGCGGCTGGCCCTGGCTCCCGGCGTGGCCCTGGCATGTGAGCGGCTGCCGGCACTCGCACCCGCGGGCGGCTGTGCGTGCGTCTCCTCGCCGGCACACACACACGCACACCCCCAGAGCACGCCTCGCCTGGACTGCAGACATGAGGCTCCAGCTGCTGCTTTGCATCGTGGCTGTGCTCCTGGCGAGCCTCCTCCCAGCCTCCGGACAGCGGCCAGGTAGGCGATGCCTCAGCGTGATGCTGGTGCCGGGGCGGGAGCCGGGGTTCGTGCCTGCCATGGGCACCTCCGGCGTGCTCGTCTGACCGCGTCCAACGCGCGGTTTGCGAACTCCGGGACGAGTTTGGACCTGGCGCATCCATCTGTGCGCTTCATCCCTACTTCTAGAGGCAGCGGGAGAGGATGCTTCGCCTATCCCAGGAGTCTGGCAACTTTGGGGAGGGAGGCGGCGGGGAGAGGAACAGGGTGGGCAACTTTTGCAGACTTGCTACCGGGAAACGCCGGCGGCACGGAGGGCACGGCCCGGGCCGCGGTAGCTCCGGGGAGCGCCGGGGCCGGCCCGTCCCGGGGAGAGGCACTACCGGCGGCCACCCTCACGCCTCGCTTCCCTCCCTCCCTCCCTCTCTCTCTCCGCAGCCAACCTGGCTCTGCGCAGGAAGCTCCACCGGCACGGCTGCTCCCACCGGCGCTGCATGCCGCTCCACTCCAGGGTGCCCTTCCCCTGAGCCCGGCCAGGTAACTCCGCAGCGAGCGCCCCGGGAACCCGCACCTGCCTGCGGAGCAGCGCCGGGGCACGGCTGCGCCCGGGCTCCCCTCGCTTGCTCTGGAAACGGCCCTTTGGAGCTGGCGCTAGCCCGGGGCTGGGCTCGGGTCCCGCCGGCCGCTGCCGCCTTGTGCCCCTTCCAGGCCACCTCTCCTGCCAAATGCCTTTTTGAGACAGGAAAAACACCTGATCCCGCTAATCGGGATCCTCCGAGGCTGTTGGCAAAGCTGCGGGGCAGTGTGTCACTAGTGCAAAGGCCGGGTAAAGCGGCACTTGCAGACGATGCTCTGGGCTGCGAGCGCTGACACTTCCCCCGCGTTGGATGCAGGGCGAAGCCACCTCACTCTGCCCTCCAGTAAACATGAAGGTAGCAGCACTCAGCCCACTTCAAAGGGGACTGTAATTCTTAATCATTGTCAGCAAAAGACTTTCGGCTCCTTGGATGAAAGGCTATACAAGTGCAAAACATTAATGCTTTATAGCTGATGAGGGCAGATACATTCAAATACTAAGTGACTGCAGAAGCACGCAGGTAGCATATGCTAATACGGTAGGCATCAAAAGGAAACCTGGCCTCCTTGCAATTTAAGAATGAATAATGCAGTCAGTAGTTTTGCATCTTTGAAACTCATTATATATTAAAATAACGTTGTAGCCCCAGGCATGCCAGCATCCTAAATAAATGGTGGCAGAATCTACATTCTGTGGAGCAAAGACATTTAGATTTACTGAGTGGTCAACAGTGAAAAGGAGACTAAAGTAAAACTTGTAACAACTCTATGCCAAGCATCTTGTCAATGCATAAACTGCCTTGGTGAAAAGAATTTAGACCACTCCCAAAACAGCCATGCAAAAGGGTACCATTCCACTCTATAGTGCTGGCCTATAAACACATGGAATGTGCATATAGGATGGTAAACTGGCAAGTTGGTGAGGTTGAAAAAAAAGATTGCCATATCTTAAAGTGAATCTCAGATGGACTGCATACTGAGTGGCAGAATTGAGATGCAAGTAGAAAGGACATGCCAGAAGGATGCTTTACTACTGAATGCCATGTCACCTCACTGCTACATTTAAAAGAGACAGATTAAATGATACTTCATCATCAGTTTAAGCTTAAGCCTGAAAAGATAAGCAGTTGGATCGATTCACTCAGTAGGCAGAGACTGAATGGACAGAGGAATTTAGACCCAGTGGCTAGGAATCAATTCAGAATTATTTACCTCAGTTCCTAAGAAGAGTACATTTAACCTTCTTCTCCAATTCAGCATCCATGTCTGGAAACTGTGTAGAAAGCATCTACACTTTCGGTAATGTGTTCTGAAGCCTCATATAATAAATGCATTTTACCTGAGATTGCAGTGGCTGCATATACCCCCCTATTCTGTGGGGAATTCCTTTCCTCACAGAATATTAAGACACAAAAGGTATTTTCAGTGTTATCTCCTTTTCTTTGGGGAGCTGATTTCTTGTAACAAAAGTCAATGACCAAACAAAACAGTGTACTTAAAATTCTCAATACATTTTGTAGACATGTAGCTAAAGATCCTTTTGTTATAAAGGTGTTTAGAACTCAGTAAACCTCTACTAGGGTGTAAGGGGAGACAGGCACCTGAACTAACTCTTAACTGCAGTCATTGTGGGTGCTATCCTTTATCTTAAGTAGGATTTACCACCTACGTTTACATTCCCTTCCAGTTTTAGTCCAAATTCAGCAAATATTTACATGCCTGGGTTACTTGACTCACATGAGTAATCTTATTGATCTCAGTGGAGTTCTACATATGGATAGAGCCATTTGCAGATGCAAACAGGATGCACTCTTAAGCCTGAATTTCAGCTAGTGGTTGGAAACTAAAATGAGCATAGCAGCCTCTTGCAGCATTTGAAACGAGAAGATTGAATTTGATTTTTCATCAGTTCCATACACAAAAAAATGAAGAAAATTTTATATTAGCAGCCTTCTTGCTTTTGTCTTTTCTCCAACTTTGTAGCTGAAATTTCCAAATTAAGACATATTATTCCAAATTTCATCCGTGTGTTTCATAAATAATGTATCCTGTTTTGTATGAAGCTTATTTAGACTACTAAATCTCTCATTAATATTTATCTCCTTTTCTTCTTTTTTCCCCCAGCAACTTCATACTGGACTTTTCAGTGTTTTAAAGGAGCGACAGTTAAACCAGTAAGAGAAGTTTGTCAAAAGTCCAGATCAAAAAGAGCTGACCTGACAGCCACCACAGTGCCATCTTCAGCAGTCCTGTCTGTCACATTCTGCTGTACCTGGAGCTGGCCTCTGTCTCACACCCTAAGAAGTGGTGGCAGGGAAAAGTGGTGGTGATGGGGGACATACATGGACTTACCTGGTGGTATCATTCCCTGCAAATGATTTGGCTCTCACAGTGAGCAGTGAAAGTTAAAGATCAAATCAAACGTCAGGTAGATTTTGATTTGAGGTAGATTTCCAGTGGCAGTAAGAAGGAAGGATCTGTCCAAGGCCGCTCTTGATGGTATATAATATTCAAACTGAGTGAAATCTGAAGTGCTGTTGACTATTCATTTCAGGCTGTGTTTAGGATGAAATAGCATCTGACTCCAGTATGGAATTGTAAAAGTCCAATTTTTGTTTATACTTTTATATATTAGTAATATATACATATATGTTTTAACATCTAACATTACATTCTTATGGAATTACCTTAATAATAACATAGAATGCATTACTGTAATAGCACCAAAGCCAGCACCACACTAGTGGTCCCACTAGCTTCATGTATAGTAGGCGTAGTAAGAGTTTACAATATAAGAAAGCAAAGAGCGTTATCCCTCATTCTATAGATAGAGAATTGAAGCATACAGAGATAAGAGATTAGCCAAGGGTCATGCAAAACTGATAACTCAGATCTCTCAAGCCAGACCTTAAGGTCAAGCCCATCCTCCTATCTAATGAGCTGTTACTGCAAAGCCTATCATTTGTTTTCTTAAAGTGGGCTGCCAAACCAGACAGTTAAAAGATGCTTGAAAATTCAGTATTACAGAGCTATTTGCTTAATAGTAGTTTTCCTAAAATGCCCTCTACAGTATTATAAATAGAGCATAAAAATAGACCATTGAAAAGAATCCTTTGTTTGGTCAGCCCCAGTGTTGCATAGCACTCTATTCCTGTAATTTAAATGAATGGGATATTTGAAGGTAGCACTACAATGAATGAAGACTTCAAACAGAAAACAGGCTGTTCTTTTCAGCACTGGAGGTCAAGAATACATTGAGCTTTTAGTCTGCGTTTTGGTCTTAAAAATACATGGTTCACATCTGCCTTTTATATCAGCAGAAATTACCTACTGACTTATAAAGGAAAATGTGGTGGCACTTTCATTAGCATAACTAAAACAACCTGAAAATAAAGCATACCCAGATTTTTAAGTCATTGTACTAGACTTGAAATGCCAACATTTTTTACAAAATATATAAAGATGATCAAAGATCAGAAGTGTCATGGTTTAAATCTGGTATTACTGTTTTTTATTCTTACAACACATAGTTTCTAATAATTGAAAGAACAGCAATCAAAAAAACTGGATAGCTGAAACTTTCTAATCAGTGTGCATATGCAACCCCTTATCTCTGAGAACTTGAAACTTTACTTGAATTAATACTAGCAGGATTTAATAGGAGCTATAAATTTCTCTCCATGAAAAAAATCTTAAAATGTAACTTCAGACTCAGTTCTGGAGTTGTGTAAAACCATCATAAAAAGATGGTCAAACTTAACTAAAACAATAAGCAGTCCTGCAGGTAAACCTTTTGGGTCTTGAAAAAAAACCAAAACACAGTTTCCCAAAGAAGCATTCTAGAATTTATATATATTTTAAAAATTATTTATTTAACTTGGCCTTGATATGTATCCTTCGCTATCTCTGTTTAGGTAAAGAGGTTCTTTACCTCTTTACTACAGGTAATGAGTGGGAAAGCAGTATAGGTGAAGAGTAGCTATTTAACAGTTATGTCTTATGAATGAGTATATGGATCTATCGTGGCACTGGGTCTTTTATATAACCACAAATATTCAATTAACTTTGATAAAATGGTAAAAAATACATAATGTAGCTATCAAAAAAGCTATAAATGCGTGTTCCTTCAAAGAGGTAAAAACCAGCACTTTAGGAAGCCTGCTGTCAGTCCACAAAATGATTCTAAATATCTGTTCTTTAAAGGCATTCTAATACCATCAAATCTGCTTTGAAAGAGGCATTGATTGTGAATTTCAATAGATAAGTTTATCAACTAGCTGGTTGACTGTATATTTTGTAAAAAGATAGTATGCATTTCAAATAATATCTTACTTGAAATAAATTTTGTACACTCCTCAAAGTCTCTATTCTTCAGCTGTCAAAGGCAGTGCATCTAAAGAAAATTGAGAACTTGCCTGTTTTCCCTGTGGATTCATAGAAAAATCAGTATTTGAAAATTTTTTACTCAGTTTCTGATACAAATAAATGATAGCTAATAATGGAAAATTTTTCCTGACATCTTTGGTCTTTCTAAAAATGCAAAATTCTGATTCAAGTCAGTTTCAACAAAGTCAAATGCAAACCTATCTGTTTACATTTGATATGTAAAACATAAGGCTTATGGTAAGAATGGCTTTGCATGATAACAGTATAATCACATCTATAAATTTGAATAATTTGGACATAGTGCTGCAACAGCCAAACTGACTGAGCTCTCCCTGTGCATGTACCAGTGTACACTTAAAGGCAGCTTTCACGAGTACAAGTTGCTGTCTACTCAAAGTCAGAATTGATGTTTGCATGGATGCAAACTAGCAAGACTTGATCCCAAGATAGATTAAGACATCAAATTGTGGAAGGCAAAACGTGAGTTTCTAAAACATTGAATTAACTCCTTGTCTTGTACATAGTTGTAATATGTGGAAAAATGAAAATTTAATTTGAAAGTACATTTCATTAAGTCCTGTAACAACAGGTCAGCAGGAAATAGAGGTAAATGCAAGGCTTTGGTGAGAAACAACAGTTTAGCATGTTCCCAAAGGATAATAAACAATTCACCTCTTCCCTTTCCAGTATGGAAAAAAGGAAATTATAGGAGAATAAAGACTGGAAATATTTCCCTTACGCCACATACACATGCTATAAATATCTGTGTCTACACAAAGCCAAATTTTGCTAAGAGTCACGAAATACTTAAATTGACACCAATCAGGAGAAACATTAGTATGGCAAACAAGTTTCCAATGTTGACTCTCAGAGTACAATTAACCCACTGAGCTACTTGCTCTTCTACTGGCCTTTCTCTTTCTTGCTAGTGATCAGCTGCAAAATATTTGTGCAAAGCAGGAAACACTCCAACAGCACAAACAAGGCACCATGGCTTTTAGAAAGAAAGCCTAAAAGCCTTAACTCATTCCAAGGCTGAAGTTGCTTTTCTATGTCTTGAGTTACCTGTTCAGACTGTTGTCTGCCCAAGTCTGGTCCTTGCTGCATCCTTGTTTTTTAGATTAAGAAGGACTTCCCGTAGAGCAAGCCTGCTTAACTCCATGTTAGTTACATGTTAGCATAGAACCTTAAAGTAGGAAAACCCTCTTAAAATTTTTTACGATCAGTGATTTTCCTCATTTTCCTTGTGGAGTGAAAAACTGAAGTGATTATATAGAATATCCACTAAGAGCAATTCAGAAAGACAAAACAGAAATACTGACTGAGAATTTTCCCTCATGTAAGATGTGCATTCACAAGAGACCATCAAATCTTTTCTTTCATGTGTACAGAATATTTAGCATAGTTCAGCATTTCATCTAAACTTATTAAAACCCCACAATGTGAACATTTTTCAGGCAACCCAATATAGTCCTTAGGTGGCACAAAATTTTTCTCAGACCTAAAAAACATATAGATTGGTTTTCTACAGAAATAAAAAGCTACTGGGGCAGCATTGAATAATAAAAAAGAGGATAAAATAATGATACATGTTTTTTATTTTAAGGTACAGTTTTAGCATATATTAGGAAACATTCCTTTACTTTCCTTATCTTCCCGCTGCCCCAGCTGCAGTCAGGTAGCTCTTACCAAGACCTGCAAATATCAAGTGATTTCTGCAGCTGTAGTCCCATAGCTCCATATCGCTTCAGCTGTTCAGAGTAACAGATTTGCAGGTTTGCCACACCTCACCACAGCAGGGCTGTGTTGGTGGTTAGCAAAGCACTGCTTTGCAGCAGAGCACGTGCAAACGCCTGTGCTCACAAAGCAGCATATTTTGGCCCCTGAAACTTGGATCCAATGCTCCAGTGCTTACTGCATGCACAGCACACCGTGGATTTCACTTCACACAGTGCAATCCAGCCCATGAGCAGGTGCTGGCACTGCAGGGACAGGCACCTAGGCTGCAGTACTGGGGATGGACAGCACTGGCTGCCCCAGCACTCAACCTTGCAGCACCAGAGAGGTGCCTGATAAACAGCATACAGAACCAGAACAATTAGGACTCCTTGTTCACTTTAGCACTGCGGCATGTCAGACATAGCAAGGTCACAGCTGAGCTTCATCTCCTTTGCACAGCAGCAGCCATTCACCTCTTCTGTGTGGCATTTGAAGCACTCATTGCATACAGGCTCCCTGAGCAGCTCTGCAGTCACCTTCTGCAGGCCAGTGAGCTCAACCATAGGCAAGCTGTTGGCCAGGAGGAGGCAGGGGCCCAGGCCCACAGAACCCAGCAACACCACACCATGCACTGGGGCAGGCAGCACAGGGAACCTGGGGGCTGGGGAGTACTTCTGCCTCCAAACAAGGCTGGCTTTGGCCCATCTGCTGCAGACAAGGGGCTTGGGGCTGCCACACACAGCAACAGCTCTTACTTGACAATTCACTGTAGCTCTACCATGGGCAGAGGTTCAAGTGTTCAGGGTGAGTAGTAAAGATTATTAGCTTCTGTTGGAGTCCATACAAATGTGAAAAGCCTCCACCCGGCCCAAAGAAAAAGCTTAGATACTAAGAAAAGGTAGAGTTGGGAATATGATAAAAATATAAAACTGGGGCAAGGGGTGGGTGGTTATGATTTGTTATCACTTGTGTACTTAGGAAAGATAACATTTAACAGGCAGAAGATGTACATGTGTGTGCACAGCAAGCCATACTTGCCTTCCTTTCCAGCTACCATGTTCCACAGAAAGCAATGCTACTGGTTAATCCAAGGTTTACCTTGAGCAGTCAGAGAGAAGAAGGTTTGAGTAATGACCTCAAAACAAAGGAAAGTTGTTCTGCCTCACTTCTCAATGTTGGAAAGAAACACAAGTGGCAGGGGAAGTCTGAAGCATGATGGAAAAAGACATTACCCAGAAAAGGGAATAAAACTAAACTTAAAGCTTCAAAACAAGTGCACAGCTATCCTTGTTCGGCTAGTTTTAAGTGCCAACACTGCTGTAAGAACTTCAGTATAACACAAAAATCTGCACAGATTGCCTGCTGGAACCAGATTTACATCAGCTTGGAAATAACAGAATTCACACTCTTCCTTGGTTGCATTTATTGTGCATGAATTTCACAGTCACATTTTACTGCTTTTCATAGAAATTTATATAAATTGACATACAGAGTCACATCAAAACCTGAGTTCTAAAAACAAATAACTTTATTCCATATATGTATACTATAAAATTCTGGCTGCATTTTCAAGAAACAACAGCTAAGGAGAACAGTCTAGTGTTGGATAGCAGCAAAGCCTCCAATATTTGTTTTTCTTTGAATGACACAACCCCCATATTTGTTGCACACTAAACTGTCTAGGTACTTCTAAAGTTGTGCCTTAACACCAAAGTAGGATGAATTCATTTTCCTTTCATATATTGAACTAAAAGACTACTCCTCTTAAGAGCCTTCTTCCAGTTTTGATTTGTGATTACCCTATCCCCAGAGAGGTATTGGCTTCTAAAATAATTCTTTGTCTATACTGGTAGACAAAATAGTACCCAAAACAAAATGTTTCTGTCACCAGCCTTAATTCACCATAGATTAAAACCAAGAATTCTTGTTTCTTCAACTTCTAAAAGACCTTTCTGTCTTCCATTTCAACATTTGAATCAAGATGCTGATTTACTTGAAGGGCCAAAGTGAAGAGCAAATATGTAACAAGCACTTTTGACAGCATCTTTAAAAGCATTCAACACAAGTTAGTTACCAGGTCAATGGAAAAGCTCATGCTTAAGTATTTTTGCTTTGTTAGTTCAGTTGGCAGAGTAGGAGACTTGTTACTAACACAAAGTCCTAGTAATGGGATAGTCATCAGCCCTAAAGATCCCTCTTAAGAGCTTTAAAGCCAGAATTCTAAACAATTGCTTATCACAGCATGGTTTTTGTACCACAGACTTGTATGTGAGATTTACAGTTTTAGGGCACCCACCACTTTTTTTTATCCCAAGTTGGATACCAACTTTCTCCACTTACCTGCCAAAGGAGAAAAGGAGACATCTAGAAAACAAGTACTTGTGTTGGATTACTGAAGTAATCCACCTCTACCCTGGAAGTGAAGGGAATCAGTGACATCTAGTCTCGTCTTTAGCAATTGAAACTGCATATACATCCCTTGAAAAGTCAGATTTTTCTAGAAAAAAAAAAATTGTACTCCAGACATATAAAATACTTTGGTAGCCTGAAGCTTAATGGTTACACAGCAGTACAAAATAATAGCAACAACTGGGCAAAGTTAAACCATTAACTCAGGTCCATCTTTAACTTACGAGGAATTAAAAATCCTTGAAGCTGCACAACTTTTTTCCAGAATTGATGATTTGAAGACAGCCAGAGTGTCCAGTTGTAACAGGCTTTAATATATGCAGAGCTTATCTTTCAAGTTTAACTTCTATTTCAAAACATGA